GAGACAGTTGTGAGAAAGCAGCAATGCATCCAGACTGCGCAGTTCCAGGACACAGCTCGGCAGTGTCTCCAGCCTGTTGAAGCTCAGGTCTAGGTGGGCCAGGCAGGCCAAGTCACTGAGGCCGGCAGGCAGAGTGGTCAGGGTACCATGGAGGCAGGCACCCAGGGCACCCCGGCTCTGGCCACCTGGAAGTGGGGGAGACAGCTAAAGCCCTCAGAGTTGGAGTCTCCTCTATTCAACCCCATCAGAGAAAGTCTCCCTTTTAAGCCAGCCAGAGGGACAGAGAAAGACAGAAAAGCAGAGAAGACACCAGTTCATTAAAAACTGACAGCATCTGCCGGGCAGTGGTGGCGCACGCCTTTAATCCCAGCACTTGGGAGGCAGAGGCAGGTGGATTTCTGAGTTCGAGACCAGCCTGGTCTACAGAGTGTGTTCCAGGACAGCCAGGGCTACACAGAGAAACCCTGCCTGTCTCAAAAAAACAAAAACTGACAGCATCACCCCAGAAAAACTGGGATCTGCAGAGACCCAACTGGGCACCTTCATGGTTCTAGGCTCAGGAGACGGAGCTCAGCCAGCCTTACTTTGGGGAGGAAGGTGATAGGGCTAAGAACAAGGAATAGTTGTGGGGTGCGGGTTCACACCTGAGCTGCAGGGAGATGAAAGGTCTGGAGCTAGGGCTGGGACAAGGATGGCCTTTGTGACCAAGAAGTCCAGTCAAAGCTGGGACAGAGATGAGGACAGGGTGAGGAGCAAGGGTACTCACCTTTGAGGACCAGGGAGCGAAGGCGCAACAGACTCCACGGAACCTTGGCTAGGGTGTCATCTAGAAGCTGAGGGTCCTCGTGGGTGCTGAGCCGCAAAAACTCCACTTGCAGCAGCTGTGGGGGCTGCTGGGAACACAGGTACTGCAGCCGATGGCAGCCCCCTGGGTGTAAGTCCAAGTTCAACTTGTTCCCAGCCAGGAGAAAATGTGCTCCGGGCCTGGAATCCACAGCCTGCACTGTGGGTCTCGCAGCATCCTCTGCAGCAGCTGCAGTTTCCTCTGGCTTCTGCCCTTCCAACACTGCAGCCATCACCCATGGAAGGTCCTCTGGGACCAGACATGTCCCAGCTTGCCAAGCAAGCCTGCTTAGGCAAGGCTGATAGAAGCTGGAGAAGCAGGGGGAGGAGTAGGCTGTAGAGGACCAGCTCCTCCTCCATGTCAGAGCAACAATAAGTCAGTTTGGAAACCGGGGAGCTCTTGAAACCACCAGCCCAAGAACCCAGGGTACCAGGGGTAGTGAGTAGAGTGGTCACCGCAGCCCTACGGCTTGCATCTGTGCTGGATCCTTCTGCCTGGGAGGGGCACCAGGCAGGGCGACTCTGTGAACAGCATAGCTTGGAAAACCCTGCTAGACTGAGGATAAGGAGAGGTTTCCCACCTCAATTCTGGAATCTGCCCATGTGACCCCTGATCCTACCTACAGGACTCTTGTAATAAGGACCCACTTTCTACCTTCATACCCAAATGCTTGGGGAGAACCCAGAACTCTCTTCGACTGCAGGCGTCACTGTGCCCGAGAGGTCAGTGCAAAGGAGAGCCAAGAGAACTTTGGGATTCTTGTGCTAGGATCCCATATCGCGGTCATTAGCAGACACTCTAGAGCCACAATTCCCAATTCCCACCTCCGTCAAATGGGGAACATAGAGAGGGTCTCAGTAGGTGTGGAATCGCTTTGGTCCCGCCTCTGGAGGAAACTTCCCGCCTCCCATTGAGTACCTGCTACGCAGATCTCCCCGCCAGTCTAGGCGCGCTCCACGCCGTCTTCCCGCCGGCGCGCTTCCGGGCGGGCGCCCCTCCGGCTCCGCCCCTCCCGGCCAGCCAGTAGGAATTCTCCTGGACTCTTTCTGACGCTTCCTATTTTGTTGTCTGCACCAGGGAGGCCGGTGACCCTCAGGGGAACTCACACTTTCAGACCCCTACAACCCCAGACTTGTGGTGGCACTGCATAGTCTGGGCCCCAAGTGCATGCTAAGACAGGAATTTTGGGGTAACTTTAGGCTATTGTCACACTCCTTGCTAGAAGCTAGAACTGTGAATGCTGGCCTCCTGGGTGTAAACCCCTCTAGGAAAGTAGTTCTCAATCTGTAGGTCACTACCCCTTTGTCAGACTTATATCTCCAAAAGATATTTACACTACCATTCATTGACAGTAGCAAAATTGGGCTGGAGAGATGGCTCAGTGGTTAAGAGCACTGACTGCTCTTCCAAAGGTCCTGAGTTCAAATCTCAGCAACCACATGGTGGCTCACAACCATCTGTAAAGAGATTTGATGCCCTCTTCTGGTGTGTCTGAAGACAGCTACAGTGTACTCATAAATAAAATAAATAAATCTTTAAAAAAAAACAGTAGCAAAATTACAGATATGAAGTAACAGCAGGAATAATTTCATGGTTGGGATCACTACAACATGAGACCTGTCAAAGTATTACGAAGGTTGAGAACCAGAATCTAGGACTTCCTTCTCAGGCTTTGCAGTGAACTCCAGCTTGCTGGAACTCAGATACTTCCCCCATTGAATGTTACTGTGGGCCAACTGCCTAGGCAGTGGCTTTCCTGGCTTTCCTTCCCTGACTTATGTGGTTCTTTTAGTTGGTGAATATTGAAGCCGACACCCAGAATCCTCAGTAGAGCTAGTGGACTGGTAATGACCAAGTGAATGTTCCACAGTCTAAGTGATGAGCAGACGTTCTGTCTGCTTCCATTCTACCACCTGCCTCTTTCTCACTGTTTCTGTAAAGCTGCCAGAGGGATCTTTATAAAAATAGTCCCAGGGGCTTAGTATAATTGCGCTCACCTGCAAGCGTAGTACCTAGCTGAGATGGGAGAGTTGCCATCCTGGGCTGCACAGCAAGACCCTGTCTCAAAAGCAATAATCCTAGGAATATTACTTAAGTCTATATCAGTGAGCATGGTGGTATATGCCTTTAATCTGCAAAAAGGCTCTTCACCTTTTTCTTTTTCTTTTTTCTTTTTTCTTTTTTGGTTTTTCGAGACAGGGTTTCTCTGTGTAGCCCTGGCTGTCCTGGAACTCACTCTGTAGACCAGGCTGGCCTTGAACTCAGAAATCTGCCTGCCTCTGCCTCCCAAGTGCTGGGATTAAAGGTGTGTGCCACCACCGCCCGGCGGCTCTTCACCTTTTGAGCACTCTCTCCAGCCCTCTTTGGTATTATTTTACAGTTAAAAAAATTCATGATAAGCGGTGATGGCTCATGTCTTTAATCCCAGCACTCTGGAGGTAGAGGTAGGGGGATCTCTGAGTTGGAGGCTAGCCTAATCTATAGAACAAGTTCCAGGACATCTAGTGAGACAGAGCAACCCTGTCTCAAACAAACAAACAAACATGACAACATTAAAAAAAAAAAAAGCATGCGGGGCAGTGGTGGCACACGCCTTTAATCCCAGCACTTGGGAGGCAGAGGCAGGCAGATTTCTGAGTTCGAGGCTAGCCTGGTCTACAGAGTGAGTTCCAGGACAGCCAGGGCTACACAGAGAAACCCTTTCTCAGGAAAAAAAAAAAAATCATGCCAGGTATGGTGTGCATGTCTCTAGTTCTAGTATTCTGGAAGTAAAGGCAAGTGGATCTCTGTGAGTTCCAGGCAAGCCAGAGTTACATGATGGGACAATGTCTCAAAATTAAAGAAAATAGAAGTTTGGAGAAATGGCTCAGCAGTTAAGACCACTTGCCAAATAATTTGGTTCAGTGACCAGCATTGCTATCAGGCATCTCACAACTTCCTGTACCCCCAATTCCAGGGGAACTGATGCTGCCTTCTGGCTCCTGAAGGCACTGCACACATGTAGTGCACATGCAAACCAAGGAGCACACACATTCACATTTTTAAAAAATCGTTAGGTGTGGTAATCCACACCTTTAATCCCAGCACATTAAGAGGCAGATCCTGTGAATCTCAAGGCGTGGGAGTGAGAAGGGGACAGAGAGGTCTCCAGAGCCTAGTATAGAGGCACACTTTTTTGTTGTTTTGAAACAGGGTCTCTCTGTGTAGTCTTGGCTGTCCTACAGACCAGGCTGTCCTTAAACTAAGAGATTCACCTGCCTCCGCTTCCCAAGTATTGAAATTAAAGCCATGCAACACCACTTCCTAACGAGGCAAAGGTTACCTTTTTAAAAAATATTTACTTGTTTTATATGAGTGTTCTGTCTTGATACACACAAGAAGAGGGAATCAAATCCCATTACAGATGGTTGTGACATGTGGGTACTGGGAATTGAATTCTGGAAGAAAAGTCAACGTCAAAGCTATTATCCCGGGCCATCTCTCCAGCCAAAAAGTTTTTAATCCCAACACACCGGAGGCAGAGGCAGACGATCTAGTGAGTTCGTGGATAACCTGGTCTACACATAGGTCCAGAATAGCCAAGGGTATATAGAGAAACCTGTCTCAAAAGAAAAAAAAACAGATACGGCCGCAATCACTAGGCCACAGACAGTTCGCCCAACTTTTTCAGACCAGCTGAACTTAGCCATTAGCCCCAGCACGACTTAGGAACTCTGGGGCCCAATAACAGGGAACGACCAATAGAACGACAGTTTGAACCTCCAGCCACCCACCTAGCCCACGTGCAACGAGAAAAGGCTAGAAAGGAGCACACTTCCGGTGTCACGGTCTTACAGTGATTCATCATGGGATTTGTAGTTCGCCCTAATACGACCCGGGCGGAGCTTCCGCACTGCATGTTGGGAGCTGTGGAGCCGCGTGGCATGTTGGGAACGCAAAGCGTTAAAGGGGTTTGACAGCTTTGGCCGTGCTCTCAGTGGATTTCGGGAGACTCTCGCCCATGTTGCGGAGCAACTGGCACTTGAAAACCCCTTTGTTTTCTTGTGGGGAACTCATGACGGGGGACAAAGCAATCTCTTCCTTCCGGTGCACCCTTTTCGTCAATGGGAGGCGCCCCTACGCGGCGCCGTGCGTGTCCCGGGGGCTTCTGGGTAGTGGTTTACCCCCGCCCACTGCGTCAGCGTCTTCCTTTCGCCGCCCGACGCCGCCGAGGTCGCACGCGTGAGGTCTGTTCACCGGAGCCGAGTGAGTAACCAGGCCGGCTGGGCCACGAACCCTGGTTGGAACTGAGGGGTGAACCGCTGCCGGGAGTTGAGAGTTACACAGCCTTCCGTGATCGAAGGCCTGGTCCTCACATGGTCTCACTTGCTGGCTAAAATGGAGGGGGAATCAGAAGGCCTCTAGGATAACCTCACCACCGTAACCCTCTGTCTGTCCCATTCAGCATGCGCTACGTCGCCTCTTATCTGCTGGCCGCCCTCGGGGGCAACTCTTCTCCTACCGCCAAAGACATCAAGAAAATACTAGACAGCGTGGGCATCGAGGCGGACGATGACCGGCTCAACAAGGTAGCTTGCTGCTTACTTGGACCCGCTGTATCCAAATGTCCGCCAGTGGCGGCCCTTACCCTTTTAGGTCGGATCTTACCTTCTGAGAAAATGTAGATGACCTGTTGAAAAGAATGGGTGGAGGAGGCCTACACCCGTCTTAATGATAGTTTTTCTATTTAATCCTTTTAAGGACCTTGTGCAATCAAAAAAAAAATCCGTACGTGACAAAGTCCTGGCTATCGTGCTTTTGTTGAAGTTTGACACAACTCACTTGTTTCTTTATTTTTTTGAGAGAAGGTCTCACCATGTAGCTCTGGCTAACCTGGAACTCACTGTGTAAACCAGCTTTTTTCTTTTTTAATTAGCAGTAAAGGGTGTATGTACTTGAGTGTAGATTCCAGCAGAGACATCTGGGTCTCTCTGAACCTATAGTTAGGGTTACTGCTGGGAATCAAAGTTTAGGATATGGTAACCATAGCAGCCTGAGCTACAGAGTATGATCCTGTCTGAAAGAGTCCAAGTCTTTAGCAATAGAGTTACCTCATCGCCCCTTAAAACTTATTTAAAAAGGTAATTTATACCCTATCTAGGTTGTACATGGAACCTAAACTTTACAGAACCTTAGAATTTTAGTATCTAAAACTACCAATTGTACAGCTTTGACCCAGTACTGTCCCATGGCTAGTTTCTGGGAGTAGCGTCCAGTCTAATATCTTCAGAACACCTTTCTGTGTCTTGCATTACTGACTGCTAGCAATGGTTGTCTACTCCAGGTCATTAGTGAGCTGAACGGAAAAAACATTGAGGATGTCATCGCTCAGGGTGAGTTCCGGGGGAGTTAACATGTTTATGGTCCATCCTAATCCCTGCTGGTCAGCCAGTGATCTGCCAGGCTTCGCTTGTGGACCAGAGCATCCTAGAAACACTGCCAGAGTTGTGCGAGGCCTTTTTATTTTAGGCTTGTGCCGGCAGCACTTCTGAACATGCTCAGGAGCTGGCAGTGGGGTCACTTCTCTATTGCTCCTACCTACCAGGATGTGAAAGCCTTTTCTGTGAGCAAGGGTTGGGGGTGCTAAAAACTGGTGCAGGCTTTTTCTTACCTTTTATTAGGCATATGGATTTCTGGTACTGCCAGACTAGTACTTATCTGCAATTTGAGCAGTTAACAGTGTGTTTGACCTGTGCACATGACAGACAAAATTTTGTGGTCTGTTTTTTTGTTTTGTTTTTCTGAGACAGATTTTCTCTGTAACAACTTTTATGGCCTGGAACCCACTTTATAGACCAGGTTGGCCTTAAATTCACAGATCTGCCTGCTTCTGCCTCCTGAGTGCTGGAATTAGAAGTATGCACCGTGGAGCCCAGCCTGATCTTTTTTTTTTTTTTTTTTTAATTTACTTGGGGGCAGGATTTATCTGAGTAGCACCTGACTGTCATGTTGTGTAAGGTCAGGCTGGGCTCAAACTCATAGTCTACCTGCCTCTTCCAAGTGCTGGGTTATAGATATGCATTACCACCTCCTAGCTTATTTTGTTACTGTGTGGTTTTTTGAGGTTTTTGAAACAGCAAATGCAACAAGGTTTCTCTCTTCAAACTGGCTTTGAACTCACATCCCCTACTGGGATTAAAGGCATGCCTAGCTTGTCTATCTTTTTAAGGTGTAGGTCATAGGGGGGCTAATTCCATGTTTCTTTTTAGTGAGTCAGGATAGGGGGAAAGAAGTCTTCCGTGGTATTACAATGTTCCTTAGACGTGTGCAAAGTTGCTTTGTGTTGTAGAGTGAAAGCAGGCGGCAGCAGTGTTAAGTAGGCAGATCCACTGGTGTAATAACATCCCTAGGGTGGTGATTCTACCCTTACAGGGTCTTTGTTCCACTCTCATATTCTTTTTATTTTATATAGGAGTTGGCAAGCTGGCCAGTGTTCCTGCTGGTGGGGCTGTGGCTGTTTCTGCTGCCCCTGGCTCTGCAGCTCCTGCTGCTGGTTCTGCCCCTGCTGCAGGTAAATAGAGGTCTGGTGAGTGGGTGGTGGTAATCAAAGGGGGTTGGTACTCGAGGTTTATTGTTGACTGGGGCTCACTATGGTGTTCCTCCACAGCCGAGGAGAAGAAAGACGAGAAGAAGGAAGAGTCTGAGGAGTCGGATGATGACATGGGATTTGGCTTGTTTGATTAAATCCCTGCTCCCCTGCAAATAAAGCCTTTTTATGTATCTTGAGTGGCCTTTTAAACACTTCATCAGTGTGCGACATACTGTGTCTTCAGTCTAGGCTCTACTCTGGGAGTATGTTGGGTCAATGGGGAAGAGGATCTCCAAAGTCCCTTTACTTAGTAGGGCCTTGGCTTTAGAGAACTGTCAGACACTGAGATGGATTCTTGGCAGTTTTCGTTAAAACATTCTGGGAAAACAGGTATGGGAAATGAGACCATGCGGTGAAATGCTATTTGAGTAGTTGCACAGGCTCTGCTGCTGTAAGAGTAGTTCATAGATCAGTACTCCACTTAGCTTGTTGGTGAGGGTGTCCCTAAGTCTCCCTATAAGGATTGTGGTATCAAGGTATAGCTTTTCACAGTGTTCTAGCCATCTAATGGCCAGTTCTCTGTACTGTGCATACTTGATTGTATGCTGGCTATAAATTTCTAGGCCGTGCCTGTTCTCAAGCTGCTATGTGGAGGGTGAAACTCAGGTCCTCATGAGACTGCAGTGTAAAGGGTCTGTCAGTCTTTCAGGGAGACAGATGAGTGTTAAAACAGGCTAGAGAAGATCACTGGTGCTTCTTGTGGCAAGTAATAAACTATGGCCAGCATGAAGCCAGGAAGGATGTCGAGAAGACCAGAAGACACACTCTTTGAGGAGCTGTAAGGGAGCAGATAAAAATGGGGCTAGGGGTAGGAGGGTCCAGGTTCCAGCCATACTCAGTATCCTGAAGGAGGGGAGGGACTGGAGCTGCTTCGGGTTCTTACAAGGTTGTTCATGGTAGTTATCCAGCCTCAGGATTCTAAGAAAGGCCAACCCTGTTCTTGGCACCAGCATCTCCCAGGGGCCTGAGGGGTGTGTACCCAAACAGCCTTACCCTCTGTGGAAATGAGAGCAGAGGTCTTACTGAGCTGGGACAGCACTGTCCCTCAGGCCCATTACTGGAACAAGATAATGGGGAGGACCTTAAGTTCCTATCTTCTTTCTGTGACCACCATGATAGGCCCTGGGCTTGTGCCCTTACCCTAAACTCCTGGTCATATTAATCAGGACATACTCATGTACACCCCACTTTGAGAACATTTGGCCTCAAATTCAATATGTGGTCCAAGCCAGCATAGAACAAATTGATCTTTAAAAATCTAAATTCTGAGCCAGGCAATTGGCCACTCACGTTTAATCCCAGGACTCTGGAGGTGGAGGCAGGTGAGTTAAAAAAAAGGAAAGTTCTACACTGAGGTAATTTAATAATAGAGGCAGAGTGCTTGCCTGACACCTAGGATACCCTAGAGTTGAATCCCAGAACCTTCTGACTAAAAAGTTAAATTCTGGAAATTTTAAGTGCCCTTATCAGCAGACTGAAGTTACAATCCCAGCATCTAAGGAGACTCACAGATACCTGTAACTCCAAATCTAGGGGTTCATATGCACCCCTTTGATTTCTGGGTACCTGCACATGTTTTTTTTTGTTTTTAAATCGGGCCAAAAGCACTGTTGGGTGTAGCAGAGGACCTGGGCTCTGTTTCTAGTATCCCTACTGGGTATTGGGTATCTTGGTGGTTCAAAGCCCTCTAGTTCCAGGGCTCTGTCTCTTGGACCTCAGCACCTGCACTCAGAAGTAAGCTGTGTTGTGGTCCGTGTGGGAGGTAGAAACTGTAAGTCTCAGCCAGGACCACAGAAACTGCTCACCCTCCTTGGATGGTCTATCTATCTGCCAAAGCTCGACTCAGTAGCCCCAAAGCACCCTACCTTTTGACTGTGCAGTGGGTTGGGACACTGATGACCACACCTATGCTGGGTATGAAATGGCTGTTACAGAATGTCTCCAGGATCCCTTGGACCTGTGGCCTTCACTTGTTTCCCTGTCTACCAGCCCCACCTTGTTTCTTCATTCCCAATTTGGTCTTTGTCCTTGGGACCACTAGAGGGGTTTTGACAGCCAGCCCTGGCACCCATTCACCCAGCTCTCTGCTGATGTACACTTCCTTCTCTTGGTGGCTGACATCCAAGGGTTTTCAACATAACTGACCAGACCACCTGCCAAAGAACTGTACTCCCATTTTCTGAGAAAACTTCACAAACAAAATGGCTAATAAACTGTGCTTCAAACGCCGCCTCCTCATGACGTGTAAGGATCCCCTTGAGTGTTATTTTCAATACACTTCCTTCTTCAGCTGCAAGCCTGCCAAACCTTTAAAAGGCTATTAAGCTAGGGGCCTCTAATTCCAGCATTTGGGAGGTGAAGGCAGGTACTGAACTTAGGACTGAAGACCATAGTATACAGCAGGTCCTTTATCTTGTATCAAAAATTAGTTTATTTTTAGATTAATCAGCATCAAAACCCCTCCAAGTCACATATATAGCTACTGATCAGGTACTTAGGCACATTTCTAAGGCCTGCACTTGCCTCTTAAGTGGCTTTCATTTGTATGCTTAATAAACTAATTTCATTTTTTTAAAGGAGTGGATAGATAAACATGCCTGGTATTTTAAGATGCTCAATTTCTTCACAAGCTTTATTTTTTAAAAGATTTTTATTTACATGAGTACACTGTAGCTGTTTTCAGACACATACTAGAAGAGTACATTGGATCTCATTACAGATAGTTGTGAGCCACCATGTGGTTGCTGGGAACTGAAGTCAGGACCTCTGGAAGAACAGTCAAGTGCTCTTAACCGCTAAGCCATCTCTCCAGCCCAACTAATTTCATTCTTGCTGGTCTTGAAATTCTTTGTGTATGTCAAGGACCTGGGTCACCTGAATAAAAGGCACTGGCTCAGAGATCTTAAGGTTGAATTGTTGGAAACGCAGTTGTACTTCTATTGTGACAGGTCTAGAACCGAGTTGGGAGTGAGAATTTCTGGGCAAAAAGACACTGTCATCCATAACCCCAATCTTGTTTGGGGAGGGGTAAGATGTCCCTTAGCTGAGGGAACAATCAAGGGAAAGGGTGAGAGGGAAACTTTACCCAGGAGCACACCACTTCCTGGAACAATTAGTTGGGGTGAAGCTTTTGTCTGAGACCAAGTAGACCCCACAGGAGCCAGGATCAGACAACTAAAACCCAAGTGAGCAGCAAGGGTACCGAGGGTCCCCTAGGATGGTGGAGCAGGACTTGAGTCTGTGACAGTATTTGCTGGGCCAGTGTCAGTCTGTTTGGCTTGTTGGTTTTGGGGGCTTTAGTCTAAGTGACTCGGGTTTTCAGGCCCATGGGGGTACTATCGCTGCGATTTTGTCTAAGTTCCATCCAGCTCGTCTGTGTCCTGGCCGGTATTCCTGGAGAAGGAGGAGGCACCTGCTCACAAACTCCCGGTACCCAGATCTGTGCAAAACTTGCACTTCTCCACGCGCTCGGGTCTCCCTGAGTCCAGGGGCTGCCTAAGCTGTAGGGTGGAAGGAGCTGTGGGGTCGAAAGAGAGAAGCCGAAGCCTGGGAATCCTCCCCCCCTCCCGATCTCTCAGATGGCTTTGCCCAGCAGGTGTCGCGAAGGGGCGGAGCCTCGGGGGCGCGGCCGTTCCCTGCTTGATCCAGTTGGGTCGCGCGCCCAGGTCCTGCCCCGTGCCGACCAGGCCCCGCCCTCACCCCCCGCACTAAAACACCTCCTCCTCTGCCTCCCGGCATAGCGTCTCCGCCTCCGCCGGCGGGGACCCCAAGCTACCCAGACTGCGGGACCCACTGCCCGCAGGACATCGACTCACGATGTTCCCAAAAGAGACCAAATGGAACATCTCGTTCGCTGGCTGTGGCTTCCTCGGGGTCTACCACATTGGCGTGGCCTCCTGCCTCCGTGAGCACGCGCCCTTCCTGGTGGCCAACGCCACTCACATCTACGGAGCCTCGGCAGGGGCGCTTACTGCCACAGCGCTGGTCACTGGGGCCTGCCTGGGTGAGCCGGGCTGCGCGGAAGTTGGGCAGGGTGTGGTGGGGACCGCGCGGGCCGGTGGATGCTCTAGCGTCCCACGCCCATTCCGCGTAGGGAAGCTGATCCAGCAGCTAATGCAGTAGGAGCGGTAGAGAGGGGCATCTCTGCCTGTATCCCGGAACTATGACCGAAAGTCCAGTTCTGAGTCCCGGTTCGGGGCGGGTTCTGGTTTGTTTTTGTTCTAAGAGTGTCCAGTCCACTGGGGTGGGGCCTGGCGCGCTCTTAGCTTATGGCATTCTCTTCAGTGTCCATGTAGCCCGCCTTAAGGGGCACAAAGGTTGGGGACAGACAGGTGCTACTAGACTGTTATTGGAAAGAGAAAGTAAATCGTGGGCGGCGCCATGAGCGAGAGAGAGGAGGGGCATTGGTCGTACTGAACTGGCTGCCAGCGGTCACTGTGTCCTGAGGCTCTGTCGCTACAAACTGCTGTGGCTCTGGGGCCTAGTACAAGTGTACCTCAAATGGGCAACTGAGCACTGTGGCATGGTTCCTAAAGGGGACCTCTGAACGCAGCTGGAGTCAGGGCTGGGCATAATTGCTTCCTCTGTCCATGGTGGATTGACAGACTGATTCACCAGTTGTAGCCAGCTGACCCACTTCACCGAGTGTCCATACTTACGTGCTTTGAAGGATTTCAGGAGTACAGAGGCGCGAAGGGGGTTGGGTCTCACACTTCCGGCTACCACGTGGGTTGTTGTTTACAGCACACAACGTTCTTCCTCCTTAAGAGTCCTGGGAACTGCTGCCCATCCCCCATCCCATAGGTCAGCCAAGGTGACAAGGGCATCCTGCTCTGCAGGAGATTGTCTAGAGTTTTCTGCTGTCTCTTTCCCATCACCTTTGCCCTGAGGAGGGAAGAGGAGAAGGAACACAGGTGTTGATCTTGATACCTGGAGTTCACTCTATGATCTTGCCCACTGGCTCTCAGGGAGGCTTTCAGAGGAGTGGGTATAGTGGGTAGCTGGGCTCAGGCCATCCATGAAGACTACCTGAGTTGAGAATGAGTTAGGGACGCAACTCTCATAGAAGTACTTACTACCAGTACTTTGCACAGGTGATCTTGGGCAGCTAGAATCATGACAGTTTGCCTACTGTCAGCTGTAAGCCCTTGATCTATATTCCCCATCCCTGCCAAGGAGAGCATCTTGGAGGAAGGCACGGGTCCTTGGTGATGGGGGTTGGGGGCAAACCCTAGATTCTCCTCACCCTGGCCATCGTACTATTGTTCTGGGTCAGCACCCCCAGGGTCTCCTGAGTGCTTTTGGCCAAAGTGAGACAATGTCTTCCCAAGAAGTGGGCCCACTACTTTTAAGTTAATGTTCTTGAGGCTGTCCCTCTTGGGCTAAACTGGGCTTTGTGGGTCTGCCCTTATATCTGGCCAAGTAGGTGAAGGTTGAAGTAGGTCAGAGTTGACCCTCTGTCTTCCCCACTCTAGGCCACGTGCCATACCATGTTAGGCACAGTGACTCATGGGGACAGGCAGTTGGGAAATACCAGGCATAGGGCAGGTTTTAATCCCAGCTGGCCAGCTTCTGCTGTATGCTATCTCCAGGGTGGTGGCCTTCCACCTTCTACTTAAGTGGCAAAGTCCCAACTGTGAGCCAGTCCCCAGTGTGGGCATAAGTGTCTTCAGGGTCAAAGGAATGTAACACATCTGAGTGTATCCTGGGTGTGGAGTCCTGGAGGAACGATGGTTACTAAGCTGGGAATGTTGTCCCTGATCCTGGCCCTGCTATCCCAGGTGAAGCAGGCGCCAACATTATTGAGGTGTCCAAGGAGGCCCGGAAGCGGTTCCTGGGCCCTCTGCACCCTTCCTTCAATCTGGTGAAGACCATCCGTGGCTGTCTACTAAAGACCCTGCCTGCTGATTGCCACGAGCGTGCCAATGGACGCCTGGGCATCTCCCTGACTCGTGTTTCAGATGGAGAGAATGTCATCATATCCCACTTTAGCTCCAAGGATGAGCTTATCCAGGTAGGCACTGGAGAAACTGTGCTGGGGGTATGGGATTAACTCACGGCAGAGCCTTGTCTACTACCCTGTGTCTTGTTCTGCAGGCCAATGTCTGCAGCACTTTTATCCCGGTGTACTGTGGCCTCATTCCTCCTACCCTTCAAGGGGTGGTAAGTATCTCTGCATGGTCTGCCCTGGAATGACAAGCGTCATCTACTTACTGTCGCTGGGCTATAGGAACAAGGGGTGGAGGAGAAAGGCCACTGGGGCACCTCTTTCCCTCTTCAGTCCCTCACTCCCTTTACTTCCCATGACTCAAGATCCAGGGCAGTCTTGAGGAGACTCACACTTCCTCTGGCTGGTGCTCATCCCAACTCCATCTGTCTGGCCACTTGCTGAGTCCCCAGTGGCCAATGCCTAGTGGGCCAAAGGCCCAAATGGAACTGAATAGGTCTGCCAGAACACCCCGCAGACCTCTCAGTGACTGTGAATGTGTATTCTTGCAAAGCGCTATGTGGATGGCGGCATTTCAGACAACTTGCCACTTTATGAGCTGAAGAATACCATCACAGTGTCCCCATTCTCAGGCGAGAGTGACATCTGCCCTCAGGACAGCTCCACCAACATCCACGAACTTCGTGTCACCAACACCAGCATTCAGTTCAACCTGCGCAATCTCTACCGCCTCTCGAAGGCTCTCTTCCCGCCAGAGCCCATGGTGAGCCTGCACAGCTTGTCCTGACTAAGCACCAGGGAAGAGAACTCCTGGGGACTTCTGAGCTCTGGGACAGCACTGGGGATTTTGGATGTTTTCCAAGGTTTACAGCACTTCAAACCAGGGCAGGTTGTTGGTGGAAGTGGCTGTTACAGGGATTCTACAGCAGAACCTCAACCACACCATTCACACTGAGTTATACCTTTGCCACAGGTTCTCCGAGAGATGTGCAAACAGGGCTACAGAGATGGACTTCGATTCCTTAGGAGGAATGGTGTGTGGGCAGCCCTGGGGTGGGAGAAGCTGGACCTGCAGTGCCCCCTGCTGGCCATAAACTCTGATGGCATCTCTCTATCACCCCACCCTCAACCCAGGCCTATTGAACCAACCCAATCCCTTGCTGGCACTGCCCCCAGTTGTCCCCCAGGAAGAGGATCCAGAGGAAGCTGCTGTGGCCGGGGAGAGGACTGGAGAGGAGGATCAATTGCGGCCCCGTGGAGAGGATCGGATTCTAGAGCACCTGCCTGCCAGACTCAATGAGGGTGTGCCATGGGGAGGGAAGCTCAGTTAGGAGGCCCAGGAGGCCTCTACTTCCCTAACTGACTACCACCTTCCTGTCTGCAGCCTTGCTGGAGGCCTGTGTGGAACCGAAGGACCTGATGACCACCCTTTCCAACATGCTACCAGTGCGCCTGGCGACTGCCATGATGGTACCCTATACTCTGCCGCTGGAGAGTGCAGTGTCCTTCACCATCCGGTGAGGGTGGGAGACGGAGTCTGGGGAGGACACATCAACATATACATCAGGGACAGAGGGATCATCCATGAGCAATGAGCTCCTTGGGAGATTTGGGGAGGATAGGTCTTCAGTATCTGGTAAGGGACCATGAGATCCCAACCTGTTGTTTCTGAGCTTATGCTCTTGGTGCTCCCTTCCCAGCTTGTTGGAGTGGCTGCCTGATGTTCCTGAGGATATCCGGTGGATGAAAGAGCAGACAGGTAGCATCTGCCAGTATCTGGTGATGAGGGCCAAGAGGAAATTGGGTGACCATTTGCCTTCCAGGTGAGCTGCCCTGACCCGCCCGTCCACCTGGGTCCTGGGTCTTGGAATCGCGGATTTCCGCTAAGCATTCCCTTCCTCCATGCCTCCTCCCCACCTGCAGACTGTCTGAGCAGGTGGAACTGCGGCGTGCCCAGTCTCTGCCTTCTGTGCCACTGTCTTGCGCCACTTACAGTGAGGCACTGCCCAAGTGGGTACGAAACAACCTCTCACTGGGGGACGCTCTGGCCAAGTGGGAAGAATGCCAGCGTCAGCTGCTACTGGGTCTCTTCTGCACCAATGTGGCCTTCCCGCCGGATGCCTTGCGCATGCGCACACCTGCCAGCCCCACCGTCACAGATCCTGCCACCCCACAGGATCCACCTGGCCTCCCACCTTGCTGAGAACCATCATTCCCACCTCACTCGGCTACCAGCCAAGCTCCAAGTCGTCCTGCCCCACTAACAGGAGTCTGGGGGCAGAACAAGACCCTATCCCTTGGCTCTCCCCCTTACATGCTGTGGAATGAGGACATAGGACCCTGCACAGCTGCAAGTGGGTTTTTGATGTGAAACCTTTCACCAGCCACTCACTAAGCTACTCCTGGTGGGGAGGGATGAGGAGTAACCCTTCCCTGGAGCCCACAGAGCCCTCCCCTTCACCTGTGCCTTACTCTTGCTCACCACCTTTTCAGTGCAGGGTCAGTCTTAAGAACTCCACATCTGCTGCTTCTCTGTTTTCCAAGTTTCCTTGCAGAGTGTGTGAAGAATTATTTATTTTTGCCGAAGCAGATATAATAAAAGCCACAGCTTAGCTTCTGCCTTCCTCACTTCTGCACGTTACTTTTGCCTCTGACTGTGGTCAGCGGACAGAGTTTTCTCCCAGTGGACCGGTGTCTCAATATCTAATAGTTGGGCTTCACAGGGTTCTTTGAGTCCTGGCAGCTGGGGACCCTCTCATAAGGTCAGCCCTCTGGCAAGGACACACGTAAGCTGCTCTGTTTTCCCTGAGGCTTGCCGACTGTCTCTTGGGCAGTGTTTCAAGGGCCAGCAGATATGTTTGGGAGTTTGAGACCCTTAGTATTAATAAAAAACTTTAGTGTTGGGTTAAAGTCGCTCAGCGGTTGAGCAGCTGCCTACTATGCACCAGGTCCAGATTCCGTCTCAAGCACGGGGGGAAAATGTTTACAAAAGGTGTCACCCACACATCCGCTCCACATAGTAACACAGTGAGTGAGGGTGTGGAGTTGACTTAAGGGCTGGATCCCTGTGAAGGGTGAAGCTTCTGGAACGGAGGCCTGGGGACCAGGGAAGATCAGTTCCTGACCCACACTGGGGCATCTTGCCCAGAACTTTGTGCTTGGCTCCTCTTTCTTGGTTGTCACATGCTTCATTGCCAGATGCATGTGCCCTTTCCTGTACTGTAACCATACCTGCTTCCCGCCAGAACCGTGGGAGGGGTCTGGAGTACTGAGGTAGTGAGAGTTCACCATGGTTTCCTGAAGTGTCCTGTGCTGTGTTTGTGTGTGTGTTGTAATAGCCTTGGAGAAAGGGGAACTGTGAGTGTGGGTGAGCTTAACTGTCCAGTTGTAAGACTTAGTATAGTCCTCCGACCTCAGCACCCACTTGCTCCTCCCAAAGGGGTGGGCTTAGCTGTCTATTTGTAGAACTTAGCTTAGTCCTCTGAGCTCAGCACCCACTTTCCCCTCCCAAAAGGTGTACAGTGGCTGCGGTTGCAGCCCCTAGCCAACAATAACGGTTGGTCTGGTTATGGGACCTGGGACAGCAGGACTGGGCGAGCCGGCCAGGCAGGTCCCTGGCCTAGGTGCCAGGGGCCGCCCCTCGTCTCCAGGTCCTGTCCTATAGAACCAGCCTGTTGTGGTTCTGCTTGAGAAGCACAGGGCCCCCCAGCGCCTCTGCAGCCTATGATAGCCAGGCCAGCTTTTCAGGTCAGTTTAGGGGCTTGGTTGGGGGCATACCCTTAAAAGTAGATGGGTTTCCTCTTAAGTAGGACTTTGGCAGCATCTTCAGAAGTTCCCCTAAGCCCGGGGGAACCCTGATTAGGACTGTGCCCCAAGAGGAGCACTGAGGGCAGACTGCCGAGGTGGTCTCACTGGGCCCCACTCACTCCTCCCACACACGAGTGCCGTTCACTCACACATCATTCTCTAGTATTACACCTTAGAAGACTCTAAATTGGAAAAGTATAGAGAAGAAAGTCTAGTGTCCGCAGCCCTGGATACAGCCACTGAAAGTATTCGGTTTATTTCCTGCTCGGCATTTTCCTACACACACTTCTTGGCACCCTAAGTCTGGATACTCCGGGCGGGGTGGGGGCTGGCATCTGGACCTCCCCGGCCTTGATTTTGTCCTGTAAGGGTCTTGGAGGGTGGAGGGGGCGGTGGGAGTGAGGAACACGACGTCAACATTGCTGCCCCCTGTGGTTCTCGGGGAGAACTAGCTACTCTGGGTCGGGTCACCAGGACAGGAGAGGCGGGACAAAGCTACAGCAGCGCTCTGCTGGAGGATCCACCCGGACGTGCTATCCCCGGGTCTCCCGGCCCGCAAGGTCGCTCTGGGTCCGCGCCCCTCGCGGGCTGTCGGGGTCTGGACAGGGGCGGGGCGCGCCGCGCGTTTCCGGGAGAAGCGGCCCGCCTGCGGCAGGTGCGGCGGCGCGGCTCGCAGGTAGGCATTTGCTCGCAGGTCCCACGACTGGGGTCCCAGCGCCGCGCCCTCCGGGCTTCCCCACTCCCAACCCCGCGCCCCTAGCTCCAGTGGTCACACCTTCGGACCGCTGTGTGGAGCGGCGACCTCACGCATCTCTGTCTGGAACGGCTGTGTTCCTGGGGTGAAGGCAGCTAGCCCAGACGTGCGTGGATGAGATTTGCCTGTGGACCCACCCGCTGCCTTTCGTCTGGACTCCCTGGAGCCTGGTGGCAACGCGGCTTCCGGCCAGGATGGACCTCCGGTCACTTGGAGCTCTGGAGTGTTTGGTGGGGTGGTGATCGTGCCTGGTTGAAGTGAGAGTAGCTATCAGGGGCCAATGATTACTCCAGATTGCCCTACCATGCTCTTCCTCACGTTTGCTTGTTGGATTATTGTTCCTTTCCTCCCGGAAAATGGGTAGGGGAAAGAAAGATAACCTCAAAGGCTGAAAAGTGAGGTAGTAGTCAGTCAGTGTCACTGAGCTGTAGCTTTGGGAAGTCTGGGGTTAATACACTGTGGGACTGACAGGTGGCTCTAATTAGAGGTGGGATGTCCATTCCAGGAGGTGAGAGGGAGGCCCCAGGGGAGGAGAAAGCTCCAGAGGCTGTGTTAAACCGAGACGTGGGGGTATTTCTTACAAAAGCTGTCCAGTGCCTAAGCCTGGGACCTTGCACCTGCACCCCTGAAGGCCTGATTGGCAGGTGGGAGGGGCTGATGGAGTTTACTCTCTGCCTGCTTGCCAGCTGTCAGAAGTCCAGGGTATCACAGGCTCAGGCCTGAGGCTAAGGACTTGGTCAGAAGTGATTCAGCCCTCAACCTTAGGCAGTCCCAGCTTGGGATTTCCCAAGTCCAGGATGTGGCAGACTCTTTACTCTCTGAGCCTCTTTCACCCCAAAATCTCTGATGGCTGCCAAGAGCTGGTCACTTGCTTTTAGACTTTTACAAGTCTTTTGTAGTAAGGTCACACTTTTTTTTTTTTTTGAGACAGGGTCCCACTATGTAGCCCTGACTGCCCTGGAACCCACTGTGTAGACCAGACTGGCCTCGAAACTCACCTGCCTCTGTCTCCTGAGTGCTGGGACTAAAGGCTTGTGCCACTATGCCTAGTCTCATTTTCTTTTTTGTTTTGAGGTAGGATCTCTCTATGTAGCTCTGAATGTCTTGGAACTTGCTATGTATAGAAGCCTGGCCCCGAATTCACAGATATCTGCCTAACTCTGCCTCCTGAGTGCTGGGATTAAAATGTATGCCACCATATCCAGGCTCACCCTCCCTTTCTTGCACTGGTTTCTTCCTGGGATTCAGCCTTTCCCCGGAATTGCTACTTCCTGAGATGTCGGTACTGGGCAGCAACTTCTAGTCCTGGGTCTGCTTTATCCCATCCCAGTGACCCTGGAGCACCCCTGTCTCAATTCCTTTTGTCTGTTGACTCTCCTGCTTGGTCCCAAAGCTCTCTGCCTGCACCCTCTGCCACACTTTCACCCCTCTTCCACTTCTTCTGACTGTCCCTTTGCTTCACAGCACCTCCAAGAGCCAAGCCTTGCTCCTATGGCCAGCCCTGGGCTGTCTGGAGCTGGGGAGGGCCAGGAAGAAGAGGAGACTACGGGGGTCTCAGCAAGGAATGGAGCAGAGGTGCTGCAGCAAGCCCAGGAGCTCTTTCTACTGTGTGACAAAGATGCCAAAGGCTTCATCACTCGTCAGGATTTGCAGGTGAGCCCCAGATCCAAGAGGTTGCTAGACTCAAGGCCGTCCTTTGCTGCTCACCTTGGTCCTTCTTGCCTGGTCAGGGTCTGCAGAGTGATCTTCCCCTTACGCCTGAACAGCTGGAGGCTGTGTTTGAAAGTCTGGACCAGGCCCACACTGGCTTCCTCACAGCCCGGGAGTTCTGTCTAGGCCTAGGTGAGCAGGTCCCGGCCACCTGGAGACCCTCTTCAGGGCCCTGTGAGACCTTACGAAAGTCTGTACCTTTCACAACTTCCCAGACATTCTGGTATCTACTAACAGGCGCATTATGAGCTGGTTCACCCTCAGCTACTCTACAGTGTATGGTCTGCCCTCCCCCAATCCCTTCTTTTCTGCCAACCAAGGTGGGGCGGGGGAGCTGGCTGTCATTTCCCATTCCCAGGCCAATAGAACCAGAACAAGGAAGCAAAACAGGAAACTGGGCCCTGAGAGAGGGCAGGATATGTTGTACGTGGCTGGAGGAGTTGGGTAGGTCCAGGGTGCTAACCCACAGTCCTGATAATCTCTCCTCCCATGTCTGCAGGGAAGTTTGTGGGGGTGGAGTCGGCCCCAGGTGGGTCCCCCTTGAGGACTCCTGAGGAAACCTTTGAGTCGGGCACAGGGGGCTCTCTGGAAGAGGAGGACGATATTGAGACATTCTACACTTCCTTGGAGAAGCTAGGAGTGGCCAGGGTCCTGGGCGAGTGAGTTGATGCCCGCTCCCTTTTTCGAGAGTGTTCCCTCTTTGCTTCACAGTCTGTCCATCTTGCCCGCTGGTCTGTTGCTACAGAATCCCTAGGTCCTGCCAGTCCATCGCTTGTCAGTTGTGGCTGTCTGGCAGGGCAGAGTGGCCTGGCGTGATTTTCCTCAGGATTTGCATTTCAGGAGGCCATAGCTCTGTGGGGCGGGGCGGGGTGTCACCAGACACCTTAGGCACTCACTGGCACAGCTCTTGGTACACAGGCCACCTTGCACTCTCAGAGGCCAAGCAAGCATGAGAGCAACAAGCAAGGGATGAACTGTGCGTGGCCGATGGATGTGCCAGTTCTGGGCTGCTGGGTTCTCTAGGGGGTTCACTGTCCGCAACGGGGAGACAAACCCTCATCCATTAGCTCCCGTCTCTCATTGCGTCCTCCAGGCAATGGGCCGTGAGGACACTGTGGGTCGGGCTGCAGCGCGAGCGACCCGAACTGTTGGGCTCTCTAGAGGAAGTTCTGATGCGCGCGTCGGCCTGCCTGGAGGCGGCGGCCCGGGAACGCGATGGTCTCGAGCAGGCGCTGCGGCGGTGAGGGCTGGCCTGGCCTGGAGAGGTCTGGGGACTCACGGAGGGGGCAGAGACTTGGCTCGGAAATGATCATGACTATGGTATCCCGGTTCCTCGAAGGCGGGAGAGTGAACACGAGAGGGAGGTGCGCGGACTGTACGAAGAGCTGGAGCAGCAGCTCCGGGAGCAGCGACACCGCGGGCAGAGCCAGGTGGGCCCGCGCACACCACGCCCAGCCTCGCTGCCTTCTCTGGCTCCGCCTTCCCCGAATTGGTCCCTCCCCAGAGGACTCACCTCGGGAGTCCAAGCTGCCCCAAGTCCAGGGAACTCTGCTCTGCCTCAGCAAGTACCCTTTCCCGCGCTCTCCACCCCTTCGCTCCCCACCCTTGCCTGCCTCCTCTGGGCTCGGAGCGAAGGCTCTAGTGCGGCTGTACATCCCAGAACCTACCCCGGGAGGAACAGAGGGGCCACCTGGAGCTGGAGCTGCAGACCCGTGAGCAGGAGTTGGAGCATGCAGCTCTGAGGCAGCGGGAGGTAAGCCATATTGAGTTCACGTTGGTGTCCTTTCATAGACTTCTTTGGGGGAGGGGGAGTTTACCTGTGCCTTGGGGTCTTCAACCAGGAGCTGCAGGGGTGAGGGGGTGAGCTTGGCACCAGAGGAGTGTGGTTCGCCAGCCAGCATTCCACCATTCCTCAGCTGGAACAGCAGCTGCAGGCCCGGGCTGCAGAACAGCTAGAGGCACAGGCCCAGCACATCCAGCTGCAGAGGGCCTATGAGGCCATCCGGGCACAGCTGGACCAGGCACAAGAGCAGCTCAGCAGACTGGAGGGCGAAGCACAGGGTCGTCAGGAGCAAACCCAGAGGTGTGGTGAAGGGCCTGTGGTGAGGGTAGAGGGTCTCTTCCACCACCTTGCATCTGGATCACTACCTTCTTTCCACAGAGATGTGGTTGCTGTCTCCAGGAACATGCAGAAAGAGAAAATCAGCCTCCTAAAGCAGCTGGAGCTGCTGAGGTGGGTCAGGTCAGCCTGGGCTAATGTGGAGAAGTGGTTTCAAGTTGCCAAATATTATTGGCTCCTACCCATGTTGCTGGAAGTCCTTATGTCTGCCCTATAGCTTTCATGCTGCAGGTTCTGTAGTCCTCCAGACTCAGGGAAAGTATCTCCCTCACACACTTTTTCCTCTAGACCTTAGTCTCCTCCGTCTCCTACCTCTCTTTTCTAGGGAGCTGAATCTGAGGCTTCGAGATGAGAGAGACGCCTGTGAGACTAAGCTGCTGGGCAGTAGTCACAGGAAGGCTCTAGCTATTACCCACAAGCCCGGACCCATCTACTGCTGCTGCTGCTGTGGCTGGGCTCGGCCCCCCAGACGAGGCTCTGGCCATCTTCCTAGTGCCCGATGACCAGCCCCAAATGACTCACTTCCTTATCCAGAGGACTGCTCCTGGGAGGGACTGGTCTTGGGTGGCAGTTGCTTGCTAAGTATGTGGCTCTACCCAGAAAGCACCTTATGCCTGAAAGAACTAACCTCAGAGTGGTCAAGGTCTTCAGTCTTTATCCTGTCTTCCTTAATCTTTGTCTAAAGGACTAATAAAGGCCACTGTATACTGTGCACTCCATGGCTTTTGTGTATTTGGGACCCTCGGTGCATTTGTGGTTCATGCTTGGCATCCGTGGCACAAGGTCATGGAGAGATTTACAGGTGCACACTACCCTGTCATGCCTGCAGCTGTGGGTTTATGTGTGCTTGTGTATGTTCTGTGATTCTGGATAGTCACCAAGCCCTCACCATCCCTCACAGCTGATGCTCTGAGGACTCAAGTTTCAACAGCTCTCATGCTAGTCCTCACATGGAAGGTCCAGCCCCTCACTTCCGTGGTTAGCTAGCTCTCTGGTCCATGTCCTTTATCCATCATCCTTTGGCACAGTTCCTAGACAGACCATAGGCTATCCACAACGGGTATCTCTCACAGGGCCCTCATGTCTCTGTGGGATCTTCTGGCACCCTCCACACTGTATCTGGAGCTTCTCCTCTGGGGAACCTCCTCAGCTGCTAGAACCTGCAGCTTCAGGGTGAGTGGTTCTCCCGGCTTAGACTGGAGGAGTAATTGATCTTGACTTCTGCTCTGGGCCTCTGGTGGGCTAGGTGCCTTCCCGCCTCTTCGCTTCCCACCTGGGTTCTAGCTCCAGCCTAGCTCCTCTGTCTCTGGGTGAGTCGGGGGGTTTTGGTGACAACGGACACACCCTTAATCTAACTTTACAGACCTACAGACAGATCCCCAGGTCTCTCCTGTGCGCCTTAGCACCAAGCCGGTTAGGACTTGCCCGCCCAGGCCGACCGTGGGCGGGGCTGCGCCCGGGGCGGGGTCGCGCGCGGGGCGTGTCCTAGCAGGCCCCGGGCCGAGCATTCCCTGCACTCCGAGTGATCGCTCCTACAGTGGCTGCCGAGGCTGGTATTTCAAAGCGTGGTTGGTGAGTGCTCCGTGAAGCCAAGCCGGAGGGTGTGGGGAGCAGTGACCTGAGTTCCTCGCTCACTGATGTTCCTAGTCTCCGTAGCTGGCCTCGGGGACGCCCAGGAGGCAGAGCCTGTAAGAGAGGGCTGCAGGCTCCTTTCCGGAAGATCGACTCCGGGGCTGGGCAGTTAGAAGGGCGGAGGGGGAGGGGTGAGGAAGAGAGCCTTCTGTGGTTCTTGGGCAGGCCTGGCGATCTCTTTCGTGCAGAAACCCAGAAAGTTAAAAGTCTGATCACCTTATTCATTGTCCCTGGACACCGGTTCCCTCCCCTGAAACCGCAGGTCCGCCCACTGGCACGGGGCGGGGGAGGGCGGCCGGGACGGTGGTGACTTCATCTCTGTGACGTGGGGATTCCTCGCCCAGCCGACTTTGGTGTTTCATCCCGTCGGTGGGGCGGGTGCCGGATGCTGGGTGCCATCGAGGGCCCAGGGGAGGTCCAGGAGCTGAGTGTAGGGCGGTCGAGTCCAGGCCGCAGGAGCTATTTCTGGCTGGTCCCGGCTCCCACGCCGGCACTTTCTCACGAAATTTACATTCAGTCTGCTGATTGTCCCTTGGCTTGGGTTGCTGGATCTGTCGAGAGAATCAGCTTCCCATAGGTTCTGGGCTTTTAGAGCCTAGCTCCTGGGTTTGCATTGTGGCCAGGCTTCTGTTTATGTCATTGCCAGCTTCCAGTGAGGCAGCATGTATTTTTGGATCTCATCTCCAGAGGGAGGTCTGAAATCTCTCCCACTTCCAGAAGTGGACAGTTGATGCACCTTTCTTTAGTTTACGGTCACTGCTGTTTGGTGGGGGAGGGACTGTGATGGATGGGCCTGGAGGGTGGGGCACCTGGAGAAGGCATTTGGTCCCTCCCTAGATCAGGCAGGCCAGCAATGTTCTCTGGCCTACCGCCGTCCAGTAGAAAACAGTAGGCTTGGCTGTTATGCTTCCTTGCAGATCTGGTGACTCTGAGAACCATTTGACTGCTGCTTTAGCCACCATTGCAGGAGTGGCAAGATCCCACCTGCTAGGTGAAGGACAGATCAGTCACTTTTGACCTGTACCTGCTGGTCCTGACTTCTAGAGGTGAGTGAGTGCTGGTGCCTGGGGAGAGCCTCAAGGTGTCAGGCTAACAGTCCTGCTTAGGTGTCTGTCTGAGATTCTAGCCTGCCTCCCCTGAGGGCTGTACACTGTCCTCAGTCAGACAGTAGTGTGTCTAGGGCAGTGTGTGCCTAGGAGATCCCTGGAAGAATGGCACATTCACATCTATGGAACTGGGGGCCTCCTCCTACAGTCTGGAGGGGAGCTGATTGTGTAGGCTCCACCTACTGGCATCTTATTGTCTCTGCCCTGGCTGGTAGTAAGAATCTGCCCAGAGTCCTCACAAAGTCCACCTGAGAGTGGCCTGAGCTCTCTGCTTCTCTGCCGTATCTGGGGATGGGTATGAGTGGTTTAAGTACCTATCAGCCCGATTGTGGGCTCAGGGAATGCCTGGGGGTGACAATCCACAGGAATGTACCCTGAAGGTCTGCTGGAGCTCCCTCCTCCCCAGTTGCCAGCAGGAGTGAGTCAGCAGATGTTTGGGGGTCCTCCATGATAACCCAGCATGTGTCTGGCTGTGAGGGGTTAGTCCAGGAAGTGACTCATGGTTCCTGGGAAGGCTCCTCTTCAGGCAGATAGCTGGCTGAGCTCCAACTTCTGCAAGCATCTGGGGACTGCTGTGTCCCCTCCTGTCTCCATTGGTGTATAGCTTTCTTCCTAGTTGGAGACCTGGTACTTCAGGCCATCTGACCTCCTCCTCATTTCTCCAGGTCCAGGATGGGTGAATTCAATGAGAAGAAGGCAACATGTGGCACAGTCTGCCTCAAGTATCTGCTGTTCACCTACAACTGCTGCTTCTGGGTGAGAAGGGCTACATTATTCTCCCTGCATCCCTATTTCCCATGTTGGAGGCCTGGGCTAAGAGCTCAGTCCCAGCTTCCAGACCCAGGCCAGATGTGACCAGTATATATTTTCTGCAGCTGGCTGGCCTGGCTGTCATGGTGGTGGGCATTTGGACACTGGCCCTCAAGAGTGACTACATTAGTCTGCTGGCCTCAAGCACCTACCTAGCCACAGCCTACATCTTAGTGGTGGCTGGTGTTGTTGTCATGGTGACTGGAGTCCTGGGCTGCTGTGCCACTTTCAAGGAGCGACGGAACCTGTTACGCTTGGTCAGCAGGGCATGGTGGCATATGGTGGGGCTGGGGATGCCTGGCATGGATTTCTCAGGGAGCCTCTGGTACTGGTTCTGGGGGCTTAACTGGTTGGGTATATTACTGCAGGCTGTCCCTGTTGAACTTACTGGGCGAGGCATCAGCTTCCAGAGAAGTATCAAGGAGCTAGGCAGCCAGAGTAGCTTATCTGAATTCCTCTTGCTTTGCCTCTTGGGTTGGGGGCTTGGCTTTGTGGTGCTCTGGCACTAGGAACCCCCCACTTACTAGGTTCCTGCACCCTAGTACTTCATCCTGCTCCTCCTCATCTTCCTCCTGGAGATCATTGCTGGCATCCTGGCCTATGTCTATTATCAGCAGGTAAGGGCCTGAACAGGCCATGGGCCCACTGGAGGTCCTGACTCCGGCTTTGCCTTTGGGGGCCTTAAGAGTTTTATCGTACCCACAGCTGAACACAGAGCTCAAGGAGAATCTGAAGGACACCATGATCAAGAGATACCATCAGTCAGGCCATGAGGGTGTGACCAGTGCTGTAGACAAGCTGCAGCAAGAGGTGGGTGCCCCCTGTAACTCCCCGCCTTCTCGGCACGGCGCTGTGTGCTGGCGAGCTCTGAGGCTCAGCCACATGCCCCTTGTAGTTCCACTGCTGTGGCAGCAACAACTCTCAAGACTGGCGAGACAGTGAGTGGATCCGCTCTGGTGAGGCAGACAACCGTGTGGTTCCTGACAGCTGCTGTAAGACGATGGTAACTGGCTGTGGCAGGCGGGACCATGCCTCCAACATCTATAAAGTGGAGGTAGGTGGATGCTCAGCAAGGGGCGGGGCTAGGCTGGACTGGTCTTTCGGCAGCCTGGTCCAGCAGGGCCCACCACCATCATCTTCTACTAGGGCGGCTGCATCACTAAGCTGGAGACCTTCATTCAGGAGCACCTGCGGGTCATTGGGGCTGTGGGCATTGGCATCGCCTGTGTGCAGGTATGGAAACATGGAGGCGACTGGGCGGGAACATTAGGGTGCCATGTGGTCCACAGCCCTGTTCACACCTGTCTGGCCCCGTGCAGGTCTTCGGCATGATCTTCACCTGCTGCCTGTACAGAAGCCTCAAGTTGGAGCACTACTGACCATGTAGCCAGGCCAGGCGGCCCAGCCTTGCAATATGTCCCAGCCCCACTACTGAACACTACTGACTTAAAGACTGCTGACTGCCAGAGGTAGCTGCCCTCACCATGACCCCTGGCAACTCCACCTCAGGGGCAGCTTCAAGTGCCTTTCACTGCACAGCAAAGTCCCAAAGCTTGAGGCCGCATCCTTGCCCCAGCGCTAAGAAGAGGGGGGCAGGTATGCCAGTGCTGGGCTAGGCCTGGCTAGAATAGGGTTTAGATTATTTGACAGAAGTGCCTCTTATGCACAGACTGCTTCCCATTGGGTAGCTGTGACCCTATAGGAAGTCTGGGGAGAACCTGGGTAAAAGCAGGCAGGAAGGGGCCTTTCTAGTTGGGCTAGACACCTTTCATGCCTGCTGCGGGGAACCCTCAGCTCTGCTTGCCCCAAACAAATGGGGCAAGCTTCTAACAGCCTCAGCCCTGGCTTTTCCCCACTACTGATAACACTATGTAAGTGCTCTGTGTTCCTGTACACTGTCTTCTTTTAGAACACCCCTGAATGGAGCATGGTTGCTCTCACTGCTGTATCCCAGATGCCCACAAATGCTCCTGCTATGTAACAGGTGCTCAATAAATGTATGAGTAGTCAGTTTGCTGACAGGACCTTACTACGGTCCAAGGTAGCTGGAGTACTCACAAGTGTCAAGCATGGGGGAGCCCAATGGCAATTACAGTTAGGGTGACCTTGGGTAGCTGAACACCTCTAACCCATTGTGGCCTGGACTTGCTTTACCAAGGGATGCCCATACTCTAGGAAGAGTCTGCAGGCCCTGCTACGGTTAGAGGGCAAGAGAGGCACCAGGGCCTCTTGGGGCTGCCCTGGCTCCTGTTTCTCAGGCTTAGCCCATCTGAGCAGCTGATAACCAGTCCTAAGAAGGTGCCCTAAGCTGAGTCTGTTCCCCAGTCTCATGTGCCAGCTGGAGGAGACTCTAGCCTAAGGCAAAGCCTTTTTCTCTAATTATAACAACAAAAACCAGGAGTACGGGTAGGGTGGGGCATGTTGTGTAAAGGACGCACACCTTTAATCCCAGAATTCAAGAGGCTGGGGCAGGCTGACTGTGAGTTCAGACCAGCCAAAGGTACATGAGACCCTGTCTCAAGACTAACAAAACCCAAAAGTCTCAGGGATCGATGTGCTACAAAGAACCCTGGGGTACTTGATGCAAATGCCAAGGAGCTAGGGCACTGCATGGACCCCCTCTGACCTGGGGGAGGCTTCTTAGGACTGGGTGCTGTGAGGATTGGGTCAAGGGGCAGGGATGCCTAGCTGTTGGGCCTGGGAAGATTCTGGAAACAAGATCCTCAATCATGGGCAGCAGATAGGCCCACAGGGTTAATGGTCTTCAGGACTCAGGAAATTTGTGAGGCCTGTGGCCTTGGGCATACTCCTATAATATCTGGGTTTGGTTGGGTGGTGGTGGTGGCACAAGCCGTCTTTTAATCTCAGCACTGAGGAGGCAGAGGCTATCAGATCTCTTTAGTTCAAGGACAGCCAGGGCCACAGAGAGAAACCTTGTCTTGGGGGGGGGGGGGGCTCAGGAAGATATGGGTTTGATTCCCAATTACTCATGGCAGCTTATACGGTCGATAACTTTACTCAGGGGATCTGGCCTCTGGGGACACAAGTGATACAAAGACTTACAAGCAGACAGAACACCCAAACACATAGAATACTTCTAGCACGGGGATAGGACATTTGGTGGGCCTCCAAGTGTTCTCAGCATTCCAAAGGAATGTCTTCCCCAGGCTTGGGCCCAGCCTTGTGGATGGCGTGGTGGCCACATCCACTATGCCTACCCTGAACATGGGCAGAAGAGGAGAGGCTCTAGATCAATGTGGTACAAGACTGTACTGTAGAGGTACCTAGTTGATCCAGCTGGTCAAGGCCCAGGGAAACAGAAGCCAAAGGGCTCCCCACAGGACTAGACACCCAAGTCAGATGAGGGGAAGGAGGCTAGCCCTGGGGCAAAGACTGGAGGCAGGCCAGGTAGCCTTAGCATAGACATGGATATGGAGACCCTTGCAAAGTTAGACTGTTGGTGGTTCTACAAAGGCCTTTACTAAACAGTTCCTTCCAGGGTGACAGGACTTAGCCACAGGGCCACAGCCAGGCAAGACACCAACATCCCCAACAGCTCAGTTGAACACAGCATGGCAGACTGCCCTTGGCTAGCAGAGGAGGGCAGGCCTCAGCAGTCACTTCTCTAAGGGTGCATAGTTCAGCAGTTTTTCAATCAGGTCCACGTGTGCTAGCAGCATGCGGCGGCAGCAGTATCGCTTTAGGCCCAGAGCGTCCAGGGCATCCCTGTAAAGAGGAGAGAGGAGTGAGGGTGGATGTGGTCTCTACAGTCTGCATAGATCTAGAACGACCTCCAGCTTGCCTCTGGGTATTGCTGTGGACAGGGGTAACCAGGGTACATCTACATAATGAGGTACTGAGACCACAGGGAAATGGGCTGGAGATTTCTGAAATACGCGCTCAGATGCTTAGGTTGGAGCCAGGTGAGTCTCTTTCCCCACTTAAAAGTACAGGGGTTCCCAGGCTATACCTGCCCATGTATATGCCTATGTGCCAACATTCTCCCTTAGCATCCTATATCCTTACCCCCCCCCTCCCACCTGTTTTTTTAAAATTTCATTTTATGTGTATGGGTACCAGATGATCCCAAAGGCGTTATGGACATTTGCGAGATACCATGTGGGTTCTAGGAATTGAACCTGAGTCCTCTTAAAAAAACAGCCAGTGCTCTTACAGTTGAGCCATCTCTCTAACCCCTGTGTCTCTGCTTTTGTCCTTTGTACCCAGGGTTACGGGGTTCCAGAGTTATTTGAGAAAGCTTAGGTGGATTCTGATTAAATGCCATGAACTGGTTGTGCCCACCCTGTGCTTTGTACCCCAACATCCGGAAGAGGTTGTCCAAACCAACTAGATTTAATTTCTCTGAGACCTAGTCAGCTTGAGAGGTTCCTGCCCAGGTAAAGAGGGCCCCAGAAGGCTAGCATCTACTCACCCAAGCTGGTCACTATAGTTGCCCATCAAGCCCCACTGACTTATGGCTTGTGCAGGGAAAGGGAACCCCTTGGTGTTTAACTGGTGGCCGGAGGTCTGATTACTATGGGGAACAGTCATGAGCACAGGCGGAGGGACAGAACAGGACACCCACAGAGCCTGAATATCACAGCCTGTCCTGCTTTTTAAAGGGTCCACAAGGTTCGAAGTACAGAAGGGGTAGGCCCGAAAGCAGAGGGTAGGGAGTAGGTCGACAGGGAAGAGACTTGAGGTGTCTGTCACCCATGTTTGAAGGATGCTTAGGAGTTTCCAAAAGGCTAGCAACTTGAAGAAAACCACCTTCCGGGGCTAGTAAGATGGCTCAGTGGTTAAAAGCACTGACTGCTCTTCTAGAGGTCATGATTTCAAATCCCAGCGACCACATGGTGGCTCACAACCATCTGCAATGAGATCTGATGCCCTCATATGGGTGTCTGAAGACAGCTACAGTGTACTTACACATAATAAATAAATAAATAAATCTTAGAAAAGAAAACCACCTTCCAAATTTCAGAGATCCTGGGTGTGATACCGCACGCCTTTAATCCCAACATTCAAGAGACAGGCAGGAGGATTTCGGAGAGTTCAAGACCAGCCTGCTTTACAGAGAATTCCAGGACAGCCAGGGCTACACACTGAAACCCTACCTCGAAAAGAAACCAAAGACTCCTTTTTCTGGGAATACATCACAGTGCTGGGCTGGAGGACACCCAGTCTTCTCACTCGGTCCCACAATCCTGCCCTGCCAATTCGCCGTACGAAATCTTATCTATCTCCGGCCCAGGACACCTCAGTTTTACTCCTGGTCCGCCGCAGAACCGTCACCCGGGCCCCTCGGCTTCAAGATCTCAGTCCAGCCTTCCCGTCCCCTACCCCGCCGTCTCACCCCTCAGTGTACTCGGCCTGCAGTAGACCCAGGTAGGCTTCCCATTTGTTGCCGACGATTTTCCCGCAGGTGAAGCAACGCACTGGGATGATCATGGCGGCGTCTGGCGTGCAGGCTGCGGGCAGCAGCTTTTCAAGGCCCGCCCCAGGCGCGCCCATAGCGCGGGGCTCATTACGCCCAAGCTCCGCCCCGTAAGATCCTGAGCCCCGCCCCGCATCTCCCCGAACCCCACCGCAGCCCCGCCCCCGCCCCCGTGATTACTCTGAAGCGGCGGTGTTCTTTGCTCGCGCCCACCCGGGGTTCCTAGAGCCTCCGTGCCCGCGGCAGCATCCCGAGGACCCCTCCCGCTGTGGTGGTATATCCCCGCGCTACGGCGTCCGAGGAAGGCCGAAAGGTCCGCGGCGCCGGCGGTTCGCGTTTCTCGTGTTGCCTTGACTGACAGCGGCTCCGCCGTGCGGCGGCGCGCTCAGGTACGGCGGGTCTGCGGGCTGGGGTCCCGCCGGCCGGATCGCAAGCCGACTCGAGCCAAGAGGTGGTTAACAAGTGGTGGTGGCGCAGCCGGAGAGCGGACTGCCGACTGCGCACGGCCAAGGCGATCTTCCCGCCTCCTGGCCCGGACTCCAAGGGGTCTCGGTCTGGAGTCCTTACCCGAGGTGCCCAGCCAGAGTCCCGGCCGTGGAGTTTGGGGTGTCCTTCTCTTCCGCCGCTGCAGAACCGTCGGCAGTACGGTGTCCCGAGTCCCGACGGCAGCCTCCCGCTCTCAGTAGTCCTCTCCTCTGAGAAGGGGCTAGAAGAGGTTTTTCCTGCGGAGAGGAGCAGGGCGGTGGTGCGGGAAGGCGTCGTGGAGGAGGCACCCTATGAGGAGACCTTCTAACTTCTTTTTCCCCGGGATATTTGGCTCAGACGTGGAGATTGCCCCGCGGGACTGCTAGGGGCCACAGGTCTGCCTCACCTGGAGGTGACCTAAGGACTTAAGGGAATGAGCAAGGGGCTGGTTTCTGGCCGCAGCGCCTTCTTGTTATGCTGGGGGCTATCTAGGAAAGCGAGGCAGCTTGCTGTGCTGTGAGAAGCTGGAGAGGTTCAGTAGAGCTTGGGAAGTTTGGGGTCTGGTTACAGTGAAGCCTCTGGGGGTCCTAGACATTTTCCAGGTGCCTCTGGGAAACAAACAATGGAGGGGAAGTCGAGAAGGGTCTACTGGGTCTTGAGTATGGCTGATCAGAGCCACTGGCTGATTTGATGGTTGTGCCCCCGCTATCACCCTGGACAGCCTCCCTGGCAGCTTTTGCCATCCCCCATGGAGCCACGTGCAGAGCCACGAGCTAGGCGACTTCCCGGTCTTGTCCCCTCCCCCCAACATCCTGCCCTGGCCAGAGGGGCAGTGGGGGCCTGTGAGTCACTGTGGCCTGGGATCAGGATCAGGATTGAAGACTGCTGGTGGCCAGAGGTGAGGGAGGCAGGGGAGTGGGGTAGGAGATGGTCTGTAGGGTCTGCCCTAGGGATGGGGTGGAGGCCAAAGGCTTCTTGGAGGAGGGGCTCAGTTCGGTCCTGCCCCTGGAAGGCTTGTTTACTTAAGGCGAGTTGGGGAGTGAAGTCTGTGCCAAGTTGACATTCCTGGAATTCCCGTGTGTGTGTGTGTGTGTGTGTGTGTGTGTGTGTGTGTGTGTTCGTGTGTGTTCGAGCACCCACGAGAAAGCTTACTAGTTTCCAGTGCTTCTTGTGGGTGGTGGCATCCTCTCCTCCCCTAGTTCCTGCTCCAGCTAGCTCCAACTCCCTGGATTCCCAGAAATGGCCCAGGCTAGAGAACTCCAGGCTGTTGCTTATCCACCCAGCCTTTGCTAATCCCAGAGTGCTGTGTGGGATGGGGTGGGGGGATATGCTGTGGGTTAGTTCTCTCCAGAGCCCTGGCCGGGATCCCAGGCTCAGCTTCTGCCCCTACCCTTACCGTTTCTTAACTGTTGCAGGCAGGCTTCCTACTGGGACTGTGGCGGGAGAGAGATGTAGGTTACTTATACCTCAGCTCTGCTAGGGTTCCCCCAAGGCAAACTGGGTCTCTGCCTGGCAAATGGCTTTACAAGAATGGATGCTCAATCTACTGTACAGGGTGGAGGTGCATTGAGGGAGATGTGCTTATGTGCAGTTTCTAACCCACTTGCCACAGTTCCTGCCAGAGGAGGGGTCACTTCAGGGCAGGGGACGAGGAAACCCATGATTGAAGTTTTAGCTGCCCAGCCCCTCCCACCCTGGGTGTTGCCCTGAAAACAGCCAGCCAAAAGAGGGTGCCGTGCTGTGGTCTGGAGCACTGGGCTGGGTTTTCAGCTGGCTTTCCCCTTGGCCTTAGATCACAGCCTTAGTTTCCCCATTGGTAAAGCTCTGCTGGAACCAGAAGCGTCCAGGGGAAGCATTTCAATTCGTCCATTTAAGGCTGGCCATGAGCTCGGGGGAGTGGTGGAAGGTGACGTCTCCCCAGGAACCCTTGTGCCCTCTGGCTTGCTCACGTAGGACAGTTTATATCACCCCGAGGGTATGGAGCGTCAACACACACACACACTCCTACACCTCATCCCCAGGCCGAATCTGTGCAGCCGCACTAACTGTGTTTGGTGCTTGTTGTCCAAATAGCTCTTGGAGACCCTGTGGCTGAAACTGAAGTGACTAACTCAAGAGCCCTTTGGGTTTTTGAGGCTGGGGCACTTGGGAATCAGTGCTGGGGTGGGGGTGGGGTCATGTTCCCCAACATGGCGGGCAGGTGTGCTTTGTTGATAAGCATCCCCTGAGTCTCAATTAGGTCCTTTCTATTTCCACTGTCACAGGAGCTCTGACAGAGAAATAGCTGAGGGCCCAAGGCAGGAAGTGGAGGGAAGACACTATTTGGGATGGCCAGGGAGTCTAGGAAGAAAGATGGGCTCTTTTGCTGGCTTCACGCAGAGGGCCCTGCACCTCCATCCCTGGCTCTGTCCCTGAAGTGGGAGGCTAGAGGTGTGTCTTCAGCCTCCAAGAGCTCCTGGTTAGGCTCAGTGCTCAGCCCCCCCCCCCCCCGCTTCTTGGTGGGAGGTGTCAGCCTACTGGACCAGGAATCTGTGGTGTTCTTGCTCAGGGTGGGGGTCTAGGGCAGGCACTGAGGCCCTGCAGGGGCTGAAGCCACAGCAGGAAGGCAGACACCAGAGCCTGTTTGTATTGGCACAACCCTCTCTGCCTCTGCCTCCTCAAAGAAGCTGTGGAGCCTCTCAGCATCGGGATGGGGTGGGTGGCGCTGCTCTGCTCTCTCTCTCTCTCTCTCTCTCTCTCTCTCTCTCTCTCTCTCTCTCTCTCTCTCTCTCTCTCTCTCTCCTGAGCTAGCTGGACTAGGAGTCGTTACTACCACCGGATCCAAACAAGCTTCTGGGCAAACTCATGCTGGCACTCTACTGTGCTCCAAACAGCCATGGTCAGATTTTGTCTGGTGTTTGGGGCAGGTCTCTTTTTGAGTGGCAACATGGTCTGGCTAGGTGGGTGTCCATGTTTTCTTTGTGGCTCATTCCCCAGGGCTTCTCATTTGTGTCTGCTCACAACTGAGGAGAGCTCTGGTGTCTTGGAGCCCTGCTGGCAGATGGCTCCTATGTCAGACCACTGTGATTGGGCACTGGGCCAGGGTGTTGAGGAAAGCACCACCCCACTCCGCCCCACCTCAAAGGCTCAGATAGGGTGGCCTTGGCTTGGTCCTTCACTGTTAGTGATCAGCTTGGATACCTCACCTTGTGAATCTGTCCTTGGCAACAGACATGGACCTGGCCCTCACGTGACCGTTCTCACATGAAGTTGGCAAGATCAGTCCCTGTTCATGTGGGTTTTACAGGCAGTGCCTTCTAGGCAGGAGAGAGACACATTGTTCAGAGGACAGCATCCTAGCAGAAACAGGCTGGGTCTCCTTTGCCCCAAAAACTTTTGGTACCTCTTGGGGAGCCCTTCCTACCCCTTCCCCGTTTTGGCTGTATTAGTTACTTTCTATTGCTGTGAGTTAGAACATGACCAAAGCAATTTGAGAGATTTTTTTTAAGTTATAGAATGCACTTAAAATAAATGTATTCTTCTCTCATATTTTACACCCTGAGCCCAGTTTCCCCTCCCTGCACTCCTCCCAGCATTCCCCCATACCCCCTCTCCTCCAGAGTCACTCCTCCGATTCCTTTCAGAAAGGAGCAGTCCTCCTAGGGATATCAATAAAACAAGATACCATAACAAGTCACAATAAGACCAGGCACAAGCCCTCACCAAGGCTGCATGAGGCAACCCAGTAGGGACAAAGGATCCCAAGAGCAGGCAAAGGAGCCAGAGACACCCCACCCCCACTGTCAGGAATTCCTCAAGAACACCTGTAAATGTAACTTTTTTCACCAGATGTAATAATTGTCATCTCAGAGGCTTACTGCTGAAATAAGCTCATCCTTTCTAGATCTTTCTGAACTCTGGCTGGTTCAACTCAGCTGTCCTGGCTCAGGCTCCTCTCCAAGCTGACTAGTGTTCTCTCTCTCTCTCTCTCTCTCTCTCTCTCTCTCTCTCTCTCTCTGTCTCTGTCTCTGTCTCTGTCTCTGTCTCTCTGTCTCTCTCTCTCGACAGGGTTTCTCTGTGTAGCCTTGGCTGTCCTAGAACTCACTCTGTAGACCAAGCTGTCCTCGAACTCAGAAATCCGCCTGCCTCTGCCTCCCAAGTGCCGGGATTAAAGGTGTGCGCCACCTCCACCTGGCTCACCCCCACCACCCAGCTCACCCCTGCTGCCTGGCTCACCCCCACCGCCCAGCTAGCTGTCTTTTCTCTCAATGGCTCGGCTTGGTCTCTGACTCTGGCAATCTGTTTCAATCTTCTGGCTCACTCTTTCTTCACTTGCAAACTGTCTCTGTGAAACTGTCCTGGTAAAACTGCCTCCCCTCCTTCTCCATCTCCCTCCCCTCACTCTCTCTCCACTGCTCGCTCTCTCTCTCTCTCTCTCTCTCTCTCTCTCTCTCTCTCTCTCTCTCT